TATGGAGTAATTTGAAAAGTTTATGGCCTCGGGGACGCGAGCACTGTGTAATTTACAAGGGTTTGTTGCCTCGGGGACGCAAACACATGCAATTTGGAACGGTTTATGCCCTCGGGAACGCGAAACTTACAATGGATTATTGCTTCGGGGACGCGACGATGTTGTAATTTACGAAGGTTTGTTGCCTCGGGGACGCAATCATTGAATAATTGACAAAAGGGTTTGTGGCCTCGGGGACGCGAACATTGCGTGATGTACGATGGATGATGGTCTCGGGGGCGCGAATATCACGTATTTTTCAATGTCCCACGCCTCCCTGGGAATTCAGAGCACGCGATCCGGCCGAGGTCAATTGCCTGTTTGGGGTCCCCCCCCCTTCGCGCGGATTTAAACAATTTGCAGTAACGAACAGAAACCAGGATTGTAACACTGGAGACTTGAAACTGCAACTGGCGCAGGGAGCAGCAACCTCGTCCTACATTTAGGTTGGGCATGTCCTCCTAGAGGCGGATTTGGGAAGAAAGATGGAACATAGTCAACACATACCCGAAAATAGTCCAACAGTAATCGGAAAGTCGCCCCCATATCGTTTTTTTCTTTCAAACAAAAACTATTATCGAACATTCCTCATGTAGAGGGACGTGCCCGCCTTAATCCTATAGCCTGGTGGCCCCGCAAGGGGGCCGGCGGATCTCTCTTTCCTCCCCACATTCTTCCTCCCTCCGCGCCCCGGCTGAACTTGTTTATCGCCATCATTGATTACCACCCCCAAAGAGCAATCCTCCTACCCCCCCAGAGAGAGCGAGGTGTGGCCATATCATATTATTGAATCGCTTCGTTCATTCCGCCGGCCCATAGGGAATTATGTATTCTTGCTTATGGGGGCTCTCTCGGGAGGCTTCTCGGTGGCCGCTGGGGGAGTCTTGAACGCGTCGCGGGCCGTCTGGAAGGGTTCTGCCTACGAGGACTCCTTCGGGAGGACTCTTGGTGGCCTCTTGGAGACTCTTAAACGCGTCGGGTCGTTGGCACTTGCTTGCGTGCTCGGGGGGGCATTTGGGGGGCCTCCTAGGACCGCTTGGGGGCCTGTTGGGGGCCTCCTGAGGGCCTGTTGGGGGCCTCTTGGGGCCTCTTAGGGGCCTCTTGTGAACTCCTGGGGGCTTCTTAGGGCCGAGGGCTCGAAACATTGTTTCGTGTTCCTGGGACCTCTCTTGGGGCGTTCTTGGGGCCTTCTTGGCCATCCTTGGAGGCCTCTGTGGCCGTCTTGGAGCCCTCTTGGGCCGTTTTGGGGCCCTCTTGGGGGCCTCTTGGACTCTTGGGCCCTCTTGGGGCGGTCTTGGGGGCCTCTTGGGCCGTCTTGGGGTGTCGGGAAGCCGAAAAGGTGAAAACGCCCAAATCACTCCAACACCTAAGGAAAAACAATATATTTTGCCTCTTGGGACCACCTTGAGAGTGCTCTTGGAGGCCTATTGGGCCGTCTTGGGGCCATCTTAGTTGGGCGTCTTGGAGCGATCTTGTGGCATCTCGGAGCTCTCTTGTATCGTCTTGAGGGGCTCTTGTCGGCCTCTTGGCCTTTCTTGGGGCTCTCTGGACGGCCTCGAGGGCGGCGCCCAGGAGGAAAACCATCTCTGACCCAAGTAGCCCGGGACCTGCCCGGGGTACTTTTCGTCCGGGGACCCCCAGGGGCCGCCCCGCGCGCGCGAAAAGTAGAATTCTTGTTAAGAAGTTGCCGGAGATCTTAGCACGCCTTTGGCCCGTTGGGCCGGCGAATTTCAAAGGTTTTTCGCCCCTCCCACCCCGCCAGGGAGGCCCCGCCAAAGCGAGCGGGGTGCCCCTATATATTATTTCTCAGGTTCCGTGCTCGTCCCACCCCATCCAGGGACGGCCCCGCCAGAACCAAAAGCGAGGAGGATTCCTCAGGCTTCGTGCTCCCACATCCGTACGCCTCACATGCCTACGTGCGACCTGCCGGGAACACATCTGATTGTCCCCCCAGGGCCCCGCACTTTATGGTCCCCATGGCGTGATCATCACCAACACAGGGTTGCCCATCAAGGGGGTCACTCGGCCAGCGGGGCCCAGGCCACGCCCGCGGGATGGGGACCTGCAAAACGATGCCCAGCTCCCTCCCTGAGCGGGTCCTCCTCCCGGCGCCTTCCCCGCGCGCTCTGCGGCTCGCCCTGTCCTTGGGGGCGCTTCTGCGGGGCAGCGACGACGGCACGGTCTTCTTCTGCAGGTCGGGCCACATTACGTCGACAAGATCGGAGTCGCACCACGGGGAGCTTGCCCAGGCCCTCCTCAGTTGAAGCCTTGGCATCGAGGTGCGCGGGCGGTGAGGTTTTCAACCGAGAGCCAGGCGCGCCCGTCAACATTTGGCCTCGTAGCCAGAAGTACCCAAAGTGCGCTTCGCAACTTTGCAGATGCCGCTCATCGATGACGCGTCGTCAAGAGTCACCCGGCGGCGTTGCGTCAATTGCGACCGGAGGTGCCAGGTGGTGCGGATCAGGAAGAGGGCTTGGAGGAGGGCGAGGAATTAGACCAGAGAACCCATCGGTCGCTGAAAGGCGCCTTCCTACTTCAAGAGTCGAACGGTTGTCTCTCTTCCCGCCTCTTCAGGCGGCGGGCGGAAGCCCAATATCCTTTCAACGCCTTCCTACTTCATGCTTCTACCTAACCCGGCGCGGGCGATAATAATGTACTCCCCTTTAGGCCATGTATGTTTAATTTACCCGTTCAACAGGATTTAATTGTGCAGAAGGGCGCGGAGGCCGAACTTTTATCATCCACGGGAGAAGTTGCGAATCGAAGTTGCTGTCATCTCATGTTGATTAGCAACATCATCAAACGCGCTGAGCATGGCCATGGTGGTCTCACCACATCAGCTTCCGCAATCACGAGCGTGTGGCAGGGCTGTGGGATTCTCACCAGTTCAATTTGCCCAAGTTGCGAACGTGCGGCATGGCCATGGAATTCATCATCATAATCACCATTCCATCATCATCATCATCATCATCATCATCATCATCATCATCATCATCATCATCATCATCATCATCATCATCATCATCATCATAGCTTCACCTTCCCTGGGCGGATCCTTTATGATCCCCGCCAGACCCCCGAACTTTATTTATCCCCCGGGTATTTTTCTCGCCCGCACAGGGCCACTTCTTCCGACCGATGGGTAGTCCCAAGACGCATCGACGAAGTTGCAACTTCGGTAGAGACTGCAAGCATGTTTCACTACGGGAGAGTCGTCCCCACGGAAGGCGAGCGCCCCGTGCGCCCGTCAGTCAGGTGGCAGCTAAAGTTTGAGCGAAACAGCCTTCCACACTTCAAGCGGTGGGTTTGTTTTCTACCGCCACCACCATACATAGGAGGGGGAGGGGGTCGTCCTCCCCCTCTTCTTCATCCGCCTCCTCATCATCCACCTCCTTCCCCCCTTCAGTTTATGATGGTGGTGGTGGAAAGCAGACCTATCATCAAGCTGTATGTCCGAGGCGGGAAGTTATCCATAGCCACCGCCGCAGGCGGTGCGGGATTCTCATGCGAATTGCCTGGCCTGCCTCACGCGCGTGGTGATGCGGCGGGCGGGAGGTTGGTTGTTTCGCGTTTTTTTGTTCAGGAAGACGGTTGAGGAAGACAGAGGGTAAGGACGACGAACAGGAGGAGGCACAGGGAAAAACAGGTTGCCATGTATCGTGCATGGGGTCGGAGCTCCTGCGATCGGGCCTCTGCGCGCGGGCAGGGCGCCAGCCTCAGAGGCTAAGCCTGGTGCCCCTGATGCACGCCGTACACAACTGTCAGACCATGGAGGGGCACAGTTACTGACTGGGCGCGCAGCGTCACACGTGCTGTTACCTTGGCATCGCTCGGACGTGTGCATTTTTCCTTCGGCGAGGGCCATCGAGGAGCATCCTTGATCATTTGGCGAAAACACCACGCACGAAATCGAAACAAACACAGGATATGGACGTCCGAGCGATGGCCAGTTACTCTTGCGTCTGAGCTCGGCATTGGTGCCTGAGTCTGCGCTGCCGCAGTGTCTTTCCCATTGCCGCAGCGTGATAAGGCGGCATGTCGGAGGCGGAGAGGAGGAGTCGGAATGGTTGGAGGACAAGGGGAACGTGGAGGAGAAGAGGAGGAGGAGGAGGAGGAGGAGGACGAAGAAATGAGGATGGATAATGGATGAGGGCAAAAAGTGGGAGGATGAGCGTGTGTACGCGGAGGAGGAGGAGGAGGAGCAGGAGGAGGAGGAGGAGGAGGAGGAGGAGGAGGAGGAAGAAGTGAGAGGATGATGTGGAGGAGCAGGGGGAACGGACAGGAGGAGAAGGGAAGGGAGGAACAGGGGAATGAGAAATCGCTCGGGCCCGAGAGCAGCGGTGTCGGCACCAGAAAACCTGGATCATCTCAAGGCCCAAAAGACAGGGGGGCAATGCAACAGGGCCCTCCTCCTCCTCCTCCTTCTTCCCCTCCTCCTCCTCCTCCTCCTCCTCATGCTCCTGCTCCTTCTCCTCCTCCTCCTCCTCCTCCTCTCCTCGTTCCCCTCCTCCTCCTCCTGACTCCTCCTCCTCCTCCCCCTCCTCCTCCTCCTCCTCCTCCTCCTCCTTCTCCTCCTCCTCCTCCTCTCCCCTCCTCCTTTGCATCAGGGAGCAACGCACTGGAGGGGCTACGGCGAGAGGGGTCGGGCCTCAAGAGGCGGGGGTCAATGCAAGCGGGGGTCAGCCAGAGCGCCCGATCTTGCAGGATCCTGCAGGGCCAGGGGCGCACTGACCTGGGTTAGCGTGCAGGGTCCTGCAGGATGTTGTTGGATCTTGCAAGGCCCGACTGACCAGGATTTGCATTGACCCGGGTCACTAGATCCCCGATCATTGTGGAGCATCTTTGATTCTCTCCAGCAAAAACAGGCACGCGCAAAACCCAGCAGTGCACCTGGAATGGACGTCCGAGCGGTGGCAAGCGCCGTCCAGCTTGCCACGATGGGGGCCGCACAGCCCCGCGAGGTGCTCGACGGAGGCGCGCTGGTCGCGGGGCAGGAGGTGATCCTCTCGGACCTGCAGGGCGAGAGGCTAGACGAGGACATCCGTGGCTGCCGCCGCCTGCCCGGGGGGGTTCTGGCATTAAGTACGGGGCCCAAGCACATGCACCACCACCACCACCTTTCTCACCCCCTCCCCCCCCCCCCGGAAAGAGGAGGGGAGGAGGAGGGTGGAGGAGAGAGGGTGAACAGAGGTGGTGGTGGTGTATATTCTCGGGAACCGCCGGAAGAGCGGCTCGGGGCAGGAGGCAGTTTTTGCAGCTCCGATTCCCTTGCGATCAGGGGCGTGACTGGAGGTGGGGGACGACCGCGTCACGACTCGCGCCAGCGCCCTCTGACTTAGGAACGGCTCATTCTTAGGAGCGGTTCCTTCCCAGACGGCGCCGGCGCGGCGCGAGTCGTGACGTGGCCAAGCGAGGGGGCGGGTTTGGCGGGCCGTTCACGGGCGTTCTCGCGAATTGTAGACAAACGTGTTTTTTTCCATGCGAGGCGGGGCTTTACAGTCGGGGCCCTGAAGAAGGAACCCTTTTCGTTGGGGAGGGGCTCCGCGTTCCTGAAGTGTTTCGCAGCTTGCCTCAGGTTTTCTTTTTGTTTTCGATAGGACATCGAAGCTTAACTTATGGAAAAAGGGGCCTCGTTCCTTATTTTGGGTTCCTTAGGTCAAGGCCCCGACTGTATCCATAACCAACCCGTGGCGGTCGATCTTCGGGGACCTCGGCTTGCGGTGGATTTGGGCGTGGTCGGGCCCCCTCGGGCCAGAATATGGCCACATCCACCGCCCGCTGGGGTCCACTGGGAGTCGATTCCACCCCAATGCATATTTGATCGAGAGCCCCCCCCCCCTGGAGGAGTACGCCCGTGAGCCTCGCGAATGGTATCGCTCCCCTCACCTGAGGTCGTGGCCCTGTGGGCGTGGCGTTGTGAAGGGTGACTTCTTTCGCCGAGAGCTTTCCGAGACAAAGGTCGCAGGGCCTCGTGAATTGGATCGCTCCCCCCCTGAGGTCGTAGCCCTGTGGGCGTGGCGTGATTGGTGCCGGTGCCCTCCCCCTCCCACTGAGTGTGGGGTGGTTAGTCGTCGTCGTCGTCGTCGTCGTCGTCGTCGTCGTCGTCGTCGTCTTCCGTCGGCGTCGGCGTCGTTTTCCGTCGGCGTCGGCGTCGGCGTCGGCGTCGTCTTCCGTTAGCGTCGGCGACGTTCTCGTTGTCGTCGTTGTCGTCGTGTTCGTCGCCGTCGTCGTCGTCTTCGTCGGCGTCGGCGTCGGTGTCGTCGTCGTCGTCGTCGTCTTCCGCGTCGGCGTCGGCATCGGCGTCGTCTTCCGTCAGCGTCGGCGTCGTCTTCGGTCGGCGTCGGCGTCGGTCGGCGTCGGCGTCGGCGTCGTCTTCCGTCGGCGTCGGCGTCCTCCTCGGCGTCGGCGTCGGCGTCGTCGTCGTCGCTCCCCCCCTATCCCATCTGGAATCCGGAGGTGGGGGGGCTTTGAAACCTGGGGGCCCATCCCATCTGGGGGTTGGGCCCGTGAACCCTTGACCCGGGATCATCCCCGCCTCGCATTCCATTCTTTCCAGCCTGGCCAGTTTCTCCGTAATTTGACCAGTCCTGACGGCCTCGTCCCTTCGGGCTCGTTGCGGCCCCTTTCAGTTTTTCCAGACCCCGCCACTTCCACTTTGAGAGGATTTCCAACTTTCATAGTTTCCAGTTTCCCTGTGCCGACAGGTGCCGCTACCCTTACCTCGATGTCGCACGTCTGGGTCCCCGGAGAGGCCCCCGTCGCCGCGGCTGGATTCGCTTCGAGTTTCTGGCCAGGACGCACCCTGGGAGACGTCCGTGGAGTAGCATAGCGGCCTTGCGAGGGGGCCAGGGAGCCTGTTCGTCCTCGCGCCGTCGGCGTCGGCGTCGGCGTCGTCTTCCGTCGGCGTCGGCGTCGGCGTCGTCGTCCGTCGGCGTCGGCGTCGGCGTCGGCGTCGTCGTCGTGTTCTTGTCCATTCTCGTGGCGGCTCGTCGGCACAGCGGGGCGCTGCTGAATATAGGGGGTCGGGGCCTGAGCCCCATCGGGGCTCCTGGGGCCGAGGTGGAGCCGATTCCAGCCAGGAGGTTTGCCTTGCATCTGCGGGGGACCTCGCCTGTCCCCAAGATTGGGGCCTCTTCTTGGGCCCGACGCGGGCTCCATGCGGACTCGACGCGGATTTGGCGTGGGTTCGGGTGAGCAGCGTGTGAGGTGGAGACCCGTGCCAAGGAACACCCTTTTGGCTTCTTGGGTTTCGATGGTTGTGCCATGGAGAGCGTGACTTTCCCACACCATAAGTCCATGGACGTCCTGGGGTCTCAAGGTTGGGTTTCTTGTGGAAGGTTTCTTGTGGTCGGGCTCCCACCGTAGGAGGTCGGGGCCAGAGCCCCAGAGGGGCCCGAAGGCCGAGATGGAGCCGATTCTAGCCAGGAGGTGCACAACGTGTTCTCCTTTCTATGAGGCTCGTGTGCACAGGGCTCGTGCGCACAGGTGAGCGTTTCACGTCCACGCATTCCTGGTTGAGCACCAGCTCGACTTGCTCGACCGCGCTATCGAGGTCTTCTGGCTGCTCCGTGCTCCCTTGCGCGGGGAAGCCGACCTCGCGCCTCCTTGCTTTCACCAGGAAGTGTCCGGTTCGGGCCGGTTCGGGCCGGTTCGGCGGCGGACCGGTTCGGTTGCAGCGGTTCGATTTCGGCGCCGGTCCGGTTTTGGTCGGTCCGGTTTTGCCAGTCCGGGTCGGTTATGCCGGTTCGGTTCGGCGGTCGTGGGACGGTCCGGTTTTGGGGGGGCCGGTTTTGGGCCGGAGGAGGAGAAGGAGGAGGAGGAGTGAGGAGGAGGAGGAGGAGGAGGAGGAGGAGGAGGAGGAGGTTTAGGAGAGGTGCCCGGCGAGGTGCCTCGCTGCAGTCGTCGTCGCCGTCGTCGTCGTCGTCGTCGTCGTCGTCGTCGTCGTCTTCGTCGTCGTCGTCATCGTCGTCGCCGCCGTCGTCGTCGTCGTCGCCGCCGTCGTCGTCGTCGTCGGGCGCCCCCGGACCTCTCGGCCCCTTCCCTCATGCCGCTCTTCCCCTCGTCTCCGCGGCCCCAGGGCCGGAAAACGCGGGCCTCCGGGGGCCCGGAGAGGAGGGCGGGGTTCGGCCGCCTGGAGCTGCTTTGCCGCCTAGAGGAGGAGGGAGGAGGAGGAGGAGGAGGAGGAGGAGGAGGAGGGAGGAGGGGGTCCTCGCCTCCCCCCCCCCGCGCCCTGCTGCACCCCCGAGGGGGGCGCTGGCACCGCGGTGGGGGGGGGGCCGGCACCGGGGAGGGGGGGGCCGGCACCGGGGGGGGGGTGCCGGCACCGGGGGGGGGGCCGGCACCGGGGGGG